GGGGCCGTCCGATTTAGGTGGAAAGAGCAAGGGAGGAGAGGGAGCCGGCCTGAGCGTCACTCCTGGGTTGCCATGGACACCGCGGCCAGCTTTTCCGTGGATCGGACTTTGTGCGCCTGGGGGTGTGCGGTGACGTTCCAGTCCTGTGCCCTCACCGGCTTCGGGCGGTCCCCGGGGCTGAGTAAGCCGGGCGGAGGGAGCCTGCCGAGATTTCCTGAGCTCTAAGGAAGGAGGAGGGCACGCGGGTTAGAGGGCCGGGAACGGGACCCAGAATCTGCCCCGACCGCGCTCCGGATCCAGCCGCCCGTGCCACCCCGCACGCCCGCGCTCTGCCCCCGCCCCCGCCCCCGGCGCCCCCGCCCCGTCCGCAGCCGTAGGGAACGAGGTCCCGGAGGAAGAGGGTAGGTGGGGAGGAGGGTGACGGGTGGGGGACCCCTTGACGTCACTGGAAGGAGGTGCCGGGGTAGGAAGTGGGCTGGGGAAAGGTTATAAGCGGCCCTAGCCCTCGGCTCCTCTCCATCGAGGTCCGCTAGAGGCTCAGAGCGCGCCGGACGGACACTTCTCGAGGCTCTTCCCCGGCGGCTGGGCTTGGAGCGGCTCCGGGACTGCAGCGCCGCCGCCAAGGACGCAGGGCTGCGAGGATTACCCGACCAGTGGCGTCTCCCTGACTGGAGCCGCAGAGAGGGGCGCTCGGGGCGCGGGAACGGAGTGCGGGGCCGGCGGCGGCGGAGAGCGAGAAGACAAGCCCGGCGGCTGGGTCAGTCCCCGCCAGGAGCGCGGGCACCAGGCGGGCAGGCCACGTCGCGCTCACCATGGTCTCCTGCTGGGACACCGGGGTCCTGCTGTGCGCGCTGCTCGGCGGACTGCTGCTCACAGGTTAGGCGCGGCCGCGGCCGCGATGGGAGTCGGGGGGCACACCCAGGGGCCGGGGACCCGCGGGGAGGCGCGCCTCCGCGGGAACTGGGACGGGAGACTCACTCCGCGCGCCGGGGTGAGAAAGGAGTCTCACTCCTTCCTCCTCCGCGGGGTCGGCGCGCGCCTCGAAGAGCAGCCGGAGGGG